TCTCCGATTGGACCTGCAAACTTCCCCTGGACCTGAACCATAGGCAGAATATGTGGGTATTGTGAAGAAGAAGCTGAAAGAACCAGAACCAACAATCGCTAATCGCAGCTTAAAAGGCCCGATCATTGAAGCCATCCTGCGGCATCATCACAACCTTCAGCAATCTGCACAGCCTCGATTGCCCCTCTCCATCGCCCCCGCCGCATTGAGCAGTAATCCGTGCTAAAAGATTCAACAAGTACTGAGTGCATTAATTGGACATTTTCAACATGTTTGATTGTGTTTTGCTGTTATAACTTTTTTTTTACTTGGTCTGAGAACTATTCTAAATTTTTTGAGATAGGGCATTTTTTGAGTTTTCTTAGCTGTATGCATAATCAGCAATATTAAAAATAATAAAAGGCTTCGCAATATTTCAGTTGATTTGCTAATGAACCAGATGTCATGACCATTCTTCTTGTTTTTTTAATTGCTTACAGAAAATAAAGAAACTGTATCAGCAATATTCCCCAATTTTCTGAGAAAGTCTGCGCTATACGTCATCTTGTGTCTAGTTTCTCACAGATTGGCCACAAATGTAATTCATGCCCAGGTGGCGTCTTCTCTAATGTAGGCGATTGCATATAAAGTCAATGCAAAGATGTGATTGGACATCAAATGAACCTTCCCCTGGGGGTTGGCATTAAAGGCAGAGACGTTGAAACTCAAGTTGAGTGGAAAGCTCCAGAAGTTCAGTTCCCTGGACATAATAGTTAATAAGCACTGATCAACAGTACAACTGAGTATTTCAAATGAAGAAAGTACAATGAATTGTCGAGCTAGTGTGAGTTTAGATGCACAAAATTCATCATATATGAAGGAAAAAAGTGTCTGTTTTTCTCTTAATTTGCACCAAATAAGGTTTTTCTTTAAAGGACGCTTAAAGAAGAAGATATTTATTGGGAAATAAAGTCCCTGGGAGCGTTATGTTGAGGCATTAAGACTCCACTTTGTTCCCCCTGACAGCTAGAGAAGAAGCAGACTCAGGTGAAGACCCCTCCCCCCCCTCCTCAGACTCTCAGCCTCCTCCCTCTGAGGATGCTCTGCAGGCTGCAGTTCCTGCTCCTCTTCCTCCACCTCCACCTCCACCTCCAGGCTTAACTGGAACTCCTCCTCCTCCTCCTCCTCCTCCTCCAGTACCCTCACCCCCCCTGCTGCCTCCTGGAGGTGGTACGACCCAGCTGTCTCTGACTGATGGGAGCTCAGGTAAGTCCACAATGAAGGAGAGGGGTTCTTAAAAAGACTGAACATGAATACTTCAGAGCAAATGATTAAAGACTTATTTATTTAAATTTGACCTAGTTTCTGACCACGAGTGAAAACAGCTTTAGGCTTATTTCTTTCTCCCAAATAAAAGAACATTAGCCACCCTGACGAGTGTAAAGCTGTTTTCACTCGTGGTCAGAAACTAGGTCAAATTTAAATAAATANTTACACAGAGGAGAGGAAGGAGGACATATTTTCAGTCCCAGCGCTCTGACAGCAGACTGTGATCACAGCATCATGTCTAGCTGTGTGCAGCTCAGCGACACACACACTCCTCTCCTCTCTCTCCTCTCTCTCCTCTCTCATCTCTCTCTCCTCTCTCTCTCTCCTCTCTCTCTCCTCTCTCTCCTATCTCTCCTCTACACACAAGCACGAGGACTGTCACGCCGATGCACCAAAACCCAACATCCCCAGCGGCCAATCAGGAGATGGAAGAGTAGGGTAGTGGGAGAGGAGGGAGGTGGGGCAGAAAACCTCATCAGACACACATGTAAGATTTAACAAAAACTTGAAATACATTTGTCTGTTTGTAAATTTTCATTTTTGTCTTTTTTTCTTTCCCCTTCCCTTTCACTGCTTCTTGTTTCTTTTCAAATTTTTCTTGTCTTGTTTTTTTTTCTTCTCTTAAATCTTCCCTCTCTGCTTGCTTTTTTTGGGGCAGTGCTGAGATTTGTTCTTCTTCTTGTGCTACAGAAGAACCGCTGCTCCTCCTTCTGGCCAATCACCATTAGTTTCGCTGCTGTTTCCCTCCGCTGCTTCTCCTCACATCTCTTTGGTCTGTGAGCCAGCCTCTCTTTCCTCTTCTCTCTGTTGCTTTGCTTTTACATTCTCTGTCTGCTTCTCAGGTCTCAGCCGGACTAATAACGCGAGGAGCGAGCACTCGGATCATTCTGGGTTTGGACTCGATCCTAGGTCAGAACTTGAAAGTGTGAGATTTTTGTCATTTGAACGATTTATCCGTCTTAATAAGATGGAGGTCCTCAATCTAGGATGATAACACCCCAATAATTAGTTCAAATGATCAGATTTCTCCTACATAATGCAATTCTGCTTCACACTTCATAAAGATTTGGAGGTAATTGCTTCAGCTCTGGCCCCGCAGTATGAAGCAGTTTGGGGATTTGACTTCTAACATCCAGCATATCTAACAATCAAACCCATATCTGTGTCTCAATATTCATATTAATACACTTTACTACTATACAAACTAATACTGAGTAGTCTGTAGATTATACTGGAAAAGTGACCAAGTTGATAAAACAAGCCGTCGGTATGACTTCTTCTTTTTGCAGCAGAAAAATGTAACGTTTCTCCATACCAAGAATCTTCTTCCATATGGTTTAAAGACTTGAAATGAGAATTTGGTGAAAATTGAAGCGAAATGTTGATATATCCTGCATTGAAGTCCGTAGTGTGGGTCGAACCTCTTACCTACATTTCCCTTAATGCAACTTGATGGCATATTTTAGTCAAGAAACCAGAGTGCTTCTCCAGCTTTTTCTGTGAGTGGAATGGCTTTGGAAACAACCCTCCTCACACTAAAAACCTTCCATAACCTACAATCACAACCACTGTGAAGAACTGAGAAGGGCTTTTCCCTCCCCTCCATTTTTTTGAGTGTATCACCATATATACTGTATGTCTTCCAGGAGAGACTGTTTGAAAATGTTTACCGGTATCCACAAATTCAAACCATATTGCGTTAGGATTAGGTATGAACTGTTTTCATTTCCGACTACACTTCGTATGAACTACTTCAGGTTGAGCATAATCTCAAAAAAGCCCAAAATAAAACTCGGTAAAAGGGTGTAGCACGGGTAAAAGGAAGAGCCCCTTACATTTAGAAGCGGATTGGAATCACAAATTATTGATCTTCATTTTGTGGTTTGTATTGCGATTTATCGTTGGAGGAGTGAAAACGACAGAGTTTATCGATAGAAAATATGCCGACCATGCTATAAAGGAATCTACCATTTCTAACGTAAACTTAAATACATGTGCGTATTTGTTGTTGTTTCCTGTAAACAAAACAAAATTAAGATTATGGTGAGAAAGGTAGTGAAAATCTTTAGAAGCTAATCAGTCAAATCCTTTTATTTATGTGCTAACACAATAAAAACATTATACTATTACATTAGTTATCTAGTATTAAGTATGAAATTGGAACAATATCTTCAGTTTCCCTTAAACATTTATGTATTTTCAGACTGCCAGTATTAGATGTTGCATAGTGTGATTGGACCTGGGTTGAGATGAAAGGTTTTTGGGGTGAACTGTGTCTTTAATAACAGGATACATAATCCTGCACACAGGCTCTGTGCTGCGTTGACATTTTGCTATAGGGAAATATTAATCTCGCCCTGTGAGTGTGTATTTATACCACTGGCAGAAATTAAATTACAGACTGATGTTTAACCGTATAGTTAATACATTTATGGAATGTATTAGTAGTCTCAGATATAGCATTACAAGCTAGCACGGATAAAGAAAAAAACAGCAGTTGAAGTATAACCTGAACCACTGCTCAGATATATTGTATGTATATTATAAGACCATTTAGTTTTTGTTTTGGAAGACATTTCTTTATTATCATGTAAAAAAAAGAAAAGTATCATCTATGTTTTATATAATCAAGCTTTTTTTGTATTTTTATACTTGAAGAAGAGGAGTCATGAGCATGCAACACAATTTTTATCTGTACATTTTTATTTTTCTGTGTTAAAAGATTTTTATTTTTTTTCCTGCTAACCATAGAAACAAACCATGATGAAACTTTGTTGTAGAAGACCAGAGTGGGAGGTTCTCCAGGTGAAAAGTGTATAATAGTACCACCACATTTATAAAAAGCACATCTACTTCCTGGAAAACAATCGCCTCACTGATAGGACGCCCCATTTTGTAGCTGTTTTCCTCTATAATAACCAATAGTGTACGTACACTGCACAGATTAAACTATTGATGGTTTATTGATGAATGTGTGATTGTTCAAACCATTTGTGGATGTTAAAAAATGTATATAAACCCAAATGATATATTACAGAAATTGATTTTATGTGGACATTTTTTAAACGGGAAAAAAAAATCCAAAATGGCATGCATACTGTATACATTCCTGAAAATCTGCACGCTGGGTCAACAGAGGTCAAATTTTCTTGTCAATAATTCTGTGTATACTTGTGAGTGTATGATAGAGTAAACAAAAATTGTACAGTAACATAGATTTTTGTATTATGTTCCAAATGGGTCGGTAAAGCCCCTTTTACTGTCAGAATAAAGAAAAAATGATAAGTATTATAGAGAAAGAAATATGGATGAAATTGTATATCAAATACATATTGTTCCTCCAGTCTGAGAGTGATGCTTGCTGTGTGAGGTAAGTGTTGTTTGTGAATTGTGAAGAAGAATGATAATCTACTACCAAGTCAGTATAACTAAAGACCAACTAATCCGTGCAAAACACCACGCAACTTTGTGTATGGAAAGTAAAAGTTGCTGCTTTGTGTGAGAAAAATCAACCAAACAAAAAAAGGTTGCTGCTTTTGTACGTTCCTGTTGTGTTTTGTGACAATAAAGGTGACCCTCTTATACATGACGCTTGTGAGTGACTCTTCTGTGAATGGACACAAAGCGAGTCATTGAGCTCTAGCAGCAACAAACAAGTATCATTATTTATCAATCCATGTGTAGTCTTTGTTAAGTTTTTCTTTGTCTAAAATAGACAAAAATTATACAAGGTGCATCACTAAGAGCTACATTTGAAGTCTAAATATTTAGTTAGTTCTCACTACCATTCTCAAACCTAAAAAAAGATATATTTGCCATCATTAAAGACAAAGAAAAGTAATGAACTCTCAACATGTATCACCTGCAACCATTTTTCTTTTGTGGCTTTTTTCTTGAAAATCCCTTAAAGGAGACCTATCATGCTATATTTGAATAATATATTGTAGGGCCATAACTATATAAGGTATATTTATACGTTTTTTCTTCAAAATACCAAACAGATCATGCATTTTAGCCATGCCTCATTTTGCTCTATTTTGCTCTCCTCCACCCTGTCTTTGCATGCGCTGCAGCTGACCACGCCCCGCTGCAAAGGAGGGGGCCGAGTTACAAGCGTCATGTTACCATGCTTTTACCATGCCACGGCAACCTTTCATTCCCCTGATAGGTGTAGAGTTGGCCATATAGGCGGCGCTCCTCGTCACTGACGTCAGACTATTTTCAAATCTGTATCAGTCTGTATCAGATCCGTTCCAGCCCCGTTTTTAGAGATTTGGGTATGGAGGAAAATAGAGACGGTTGTGTTTTCTGACACTGGGTGAGTTCCCTGACACACCGGGGACACATATTCATGTATAAAAGACGTACAAAAGTGCATTTTGCATGATAGGTCCCCTTTAAAGGAGGAATTGATTATCAAAATAGTTATTTTAGATTGTAAATATAGATGTGCTGTATAAAAGTGTTTAAAAAATGTACCTTTGGTTGACAAAATGACTTACGATAGCAATAGGCCAACTGCTAATTCGCTCAATAATTACCTGCTAACTGCAGCATTTAAAACTTAGACATTTCATTGGAAATACCCTGATCACTAGACCATTTTAGGGCTGAAATAAATGCATACACATTTTTTAATTCTGCTTTTGTGAACTTTGCCTTGCTATTTAACGTGGCTAACCGATTGCTACCGTCTTAGCAGTGCTGAACTGGAGAGTCCAAAATGGAATTAAAGCCAACGTAGCTTGGTAGCAGTTTTGCACCATCAACTTCTAAAACTGCTCTTGTCAAACTTTCAAATCCTTCAAAAATGAATGGTTTGCAGACAGTTATGAGCCAAAAGCCAACGGTTGGAATACATATTTAAAATAAACTGACTTTTCTTTTACAATACCTAGCTAACAAACATCATAACTGACAGTTAGCCAGCTTTTTAGCATGCTAAGGTGAGTGATCAGCACAGAGAAGATAGAAGCTTTAAAATAAAGTGTTTTATTTTACCGTAGGTGACTTTCTTAGCATAATTAGACTTCAAATGTATTCATCCTCAAGATGGTATTTTTCAAGTCACACAAATATATATTTAGTTCTCTTAAAACTCTTATGCGTGCCACTTAAGAAAAGACGTGTTTAAACAAGTGTCTATTAATGAGGGTTAGCTTTGGTTAGCTTAGCATTAAGACTTCAAGCAGAGGGTGAAACAGCTAGCCTGGCTCTATAACCAAAGTTAATAAAATCCACCTAACTGGAATGCTGTTGAGTGAATGTTTTGTTTGATATGTCCAAAAGTAGCTCAACTATAAGCCTCCTTTTACCCCAAGGTGTATAACCAGGGTGTAGTGCATGTCTGTGTGACAATTCTATCTGGGCTAACGGATATGAAAAGCTTTTTCTACAGGAATTTGGCGGGAGAGTTCTCTCCTGACAGACTAATGGCGCATTTCCACTGCAGCGCGTAGCACGGTTTAAGCGTGCCGTGCCAAACCCGGCCCGTTTTTTGTTGCGTTTCCACTAGGAGTAGTTCTGGCTAACGGGTACCTTTTCACAGTTTTTCTGGCCCTCCAAAATCGTGGTTCTTTCCGGGCCAACAACTGGGCTGAATATGCTAAACTAATGACATGAGTGGCTACAACTACAACACAATGAACATATTTTACCGTGATTTAATTGTAATACACTTTTCAAAAGCCGAAGTAACAACATACTGATACCGGTTAGCAAAAACCTAAATTAATGAATTAATGCTTTGACAAGTCTGCAGACAGACGGCAGGCGAAAAACCTTTTAAAATGCGTGTTTTCTGAATGGAGATCGCCTAAGGTAACGCTGTATATGCTTCGACCGTCCACACTCACAACAACGGCCTACAGACATAAATAAAGCAGCGACTGTATTCGCCATGACACAGACAGTCTGTGGTTTGTTCTTGTTTAACTTTTGTCTAGTTTCCGAACAAATATGAGGAGCTGTGAGCTCTGAGGGCTAACAGCTAACGGCTGATGTTTGGTTTTGTGGTTCGCATTGAAGATGACGTCACGGCTCCACCTACACTGCAGTACTATAGACTGCCCCAGCTACTAAACTGTAATGGAAACGCAGCATAAAGTGAGCCTGGCCTACCAAGGCCTAACTATACCGTACTAAGCCATGCGAGGCCCAGCAGTGGAAATGCGCCATAAGTGGCTCTGATAGAAGTAGTCTAAGTATTCCCAAGGCACACCTTTATACAATTATTATACAATTATTATAGTTATTTAAAAAAATAAGAGATAAATGAAAAACAGGAATGAAATAATGAAATTGCATTCTATACAGGACAGTAAACAAAAATACAGTTTAAAAGGGGATTGATTTGTAAAATATGCATTAAAAAAAGAAAATATGACCATATAATAATGTTTTGATTATTTAAATGTATACAGTTCTGTTTCATATGGGTGTTGAGAGATGTATCCATAGATCTCGTCTCTTAATTTTGCTCTGAAATTCACCAGATTGATGCATTTAATTGCTAAATAAATACAAAAAAATCTTCCCGGGTTTAGTGTTTAAACTCTTCTTTTTTTTTTAAACAGCTTATGTCTAAGATAAGATATATAACACATTTTTACTTGAAGGGCTTGTGCAACATTACAGGCCTACAAAATGAGGAAAGCATTCAAAACCAAAATATACACAATGCCAACAATAAAGGGTTGCAGAGAGAAATATGTTTGCAATGTAAAATATGAGGAACAGGCAAGTGAAAGTTTCCTCATTGTGTCTCCGGAATGTAATGAGAAAGTTATAATAAAGCTATTTGCGGTTTGATAGAAACTGGGCAGTTTTCCAGTTGTTTGAGGCACTCGAGGCACTAGGAAGTAAAAGAGACTCCGCTCCGCCCTGCTGATCTTATTCACTTCCTGCTTCCACTTTGTCCTCCAAACTAAAACAGACTAGCTGAGTATGTAACATTGTCTGTGTCTGGAAACAGCAGTTGGCATTTAATGCAAACAAATAGAACTGGAAACAGACTGTAAGTACGATTTAATATGTTCTGAATCTGCTCTATCTCACTGAGATCATGTTTAATACTTTTTGAAGAGATTTATGTATGCATTTTGTCCTCTGTTTTATTTTCCACACCAGAATGCATTGTAGCAACTTGTTGGGATTGTAATGTAGCCTTCGTTATGTGAAACATGTTCAGACAGAAGGCAGCAACAGAAAAGAAATGTGCAGATTATGCAGTTTAGAAACTTTCCAAACTGGAAAATCTACAGAACATGCGACAACGGTAGCACCTATTTTACACACCTGTTGTATGGGGTCTCAAGTGTACCATTTTGCTTTAGGCATTGCATTCAAAAACAGTAAATATCAAATTCTTTATATACTAATTTAGAAATGGCCCATTTTAATACTTACTCTCTTCTGAAATATATTAATTATTGTATTTTTAAATGAAAGCGCACAATACATCTTTTTTTTAAATAATCTTTGGCATAATCAGCTTATATATTTATAATTATGGTTACCACATTCAACATTTTACAGGTGTTCTGTGTAAAGACTTTTATATAATGTTTAAATGGTTGACACATATTTTAATTTAAAATTAACATTTCTGTTAAACCTGAGATGGAAGAACAGACCAATGTATTATGTACATTTACCCAAAGTAAAAAAAGATATAAGTTTGCATCTTCTTGGTTTTTCCTTATTTATTTGCATTCTTGAATTCAATTGAATGAGTAAAGTATTGTTGTTGGCCAACTAAACTTGAAGGACACAAGTAATTGTTTATTAATACAAATTGAATAAATACACCTAATATTCAAAGGTTTTATAAACTTTTAGTTTAAACAATGAATTCTCATTATTTAACTTTCAGGAGTTGAAATTCTGACGAATATTTTACAAAAGGAATACCAGCAAAATGCAACTTTGTTTTTTCATTCACAGACACACAAGCAGACGCAGACCCCTTTCAATCACAACAAATAACCGTTATTTTTATTATCCTTAACAACCTCCGACAACCTCTACACAGAACTTTTATCAAGTAAAATACCTAGGCTACCCCAGCACATTGATTTTTGTGAAAGAAAAAACACAGAAATGTCTGCTTCAACTGATCCAAAAGGCGAACTCGCATCACGTTTGACGTCTTTCATTCATCTCTACAGTCAACACAGAGATGGCCTTCAGAAAGCCTCAGAGGGCTTAACACTGACAGCTGCTCAGGACCAGCACGAGGACTCTTCTGTGGTGGAAGTCCTCTGTGTGGTAACTGGAGGATTCCTTGGAGCAGGCTTTGGTGGTGTTACTGGTGGAGTTGGGGGAGCGTTTGGGGCAGTTGCTGCTTCAACTTGGGCCAGGATTTTCAACCACATTAACGCAGCGGAAGCAACTGTGGGCTTTGTCGGCAGTGTGTTAGGTGGAGTCTTTGGGGGAGCGTTCAGCGGCGCTATAGGCGGTGCAGTCTGTGCTGGAGGTAAAGCGAGTGGCAGTCCATTTAAAGGGAAAGTCACAAAGGTAGTGTGGCTCACCATCGGCCTTGCAACTGGTGGTGCGATCGGTGGTATTTTTGGTGGGAGAGTGGGTGCAGAAGGTGGGGCAGTTGGTAGTGCTTTTGGAGTGTTGTGTGCTACGGGCTTGGCAGGGAGTGCAGTTGGAGTCGTCAAATATTTTTGTTCTGCTTCAGAAGAGAAATCAACAAAAGCAGCACAGATGTTGCGGAAAACTGCACATTTCTGTGAGACTTTCAAACCGCTGGTGACCGAGCTGAATACCATAAAAAACATCAGCGAAGGAATGGCCTCCAGTGCCAGAGCGCAGGGTGTAGCCGAACAATCTGCCAAGACTCTGACTTCTGTGAACCTGATGCTGAAAGCCACGAATGACTCTCTGCCCGTCACAGATCTGCCACAGTTTGTTTCCAGTGCTGAAGAATGGGCACAACATGGCAAGAGAATCACAGAGGAACTGGAGCAGATGAATGAGGAAGGGGAAAAAATGTTGGCTTCATTGAGGACATTCTGATGCTGTAAAACAAGAACCTGACAAACCTGTACACTGCTGTTTTACAAAACCTTCCTAATAACAATATAAGGAAAATAAAAGTTGTAAATATGTTTCCACCCACCACGGTAAATTCTATTCACACACCACTCACTGATTGTCTTTAATATTTTGCTATTTTCTTCACATGACGTTTAAACAACTTTATGGAAATCTTCTCCATTTTGTTCCTTTGTACTAATTAAGGGATTTTACATTAATCGGCCTACAGATGTTATTAAAAAAAAGTATATTACACGTGTTGCAGATAATGTTTGATTACAGAGATTCAAATGATGATGTTTAACTATAATAAAAGTTACTGTTCAAGTTTTCATTAAATTACTTTGTCTAATGTGTCTACAGGAGCCCATAGTGGCCGAAAAAAGGCTGACCTCGCGCCAGAAAGAAAGTGATAGAATATTATGCCAAAACCAGTCATATTCTAGTATGTTGAAAATATCAGAAAAAAAGTAATTGTATGTTGGAAAAAAGTCATCCTATAATAAGAGAAACATATCAGACAGTCTAAAACTCGGAAAAAGCCATATTATATAATACATCTTTACTATAAATCATATAATTTCAGTAAATTGTAAAAAACAACAGCTACAAATATCTCAAATAAATGATGTCGTAAAAAAGTCACAAGATAGTAACGGTACGTCCACACGGCAGCATGCGTTGAAGCTTGCCGGTTGGCGGGTCTGAAGCGCGACCAACAACCAATCACATGAATCTCCCGCCCCGGACACACAAGCACGCGTTTTGATTGGCTAGAGCTTGTACTGGCATATGATTTGATTGGCTGAGGCTTCCGTCGAAGCTTGAAAAGTTGAACTTTTCTCAACTTTCGAAGCGAGCAACGGAGGCAAAGCGACGGAACCACAATGCAGTTCGGCAAAGCCTGACTTCACCCCATTCAAAGTGAATGGGAAGTTGCGTTGAAGCTTCAACACACGCCGCCGTGTGGACGGGCCGTGAGCTATATTAATGTCATAGTATAGCATGTCATAACAAGGTTCAGTTCAATATGTTATAATAATGTTATTTTATAGTAAAGTAATTCAATAAAATCATAACAATTCATAGTACAGCATGTCAAATGATCATAAAGATTTCACAGTTAATAAATTCATAAAAATATAATAGTATGGTATGTAATCGAAGTTTCTTATGCTAAACTAAGATGGAAAACGATACACGTGAGCATTCAGCTAAAAGCACAGCTGTACACATAAAAGCCTCACAGAGCGGCTAGCATGGATGAAGATATTACATCTTGTTCAATTTGATATATTTCCATAAAGGCCTAGAAATTATACGTCGTACACTGCACTAAGAAGAGAAAGACACTAAAGCAGTCACAGTAAAAAATGCTTTATTTGTTGAAATGCAGAAGCAAAGTAGAAGTTCATCATTCTTACACTTCAGTATTAAAAATAATTTAAATATATTACAAATCTTCAGCCTAAATCTTTCAGACCTCCTGCAGGACAGAGAGATGGATAGCAGTAATTAAGAATCTATTTAAAATTAAACCAATTAAAAAATCATGTCTGGAGCATTTTTAGGAAACCTATCAAAATGATTTATGAGTGGTCCGTCCGTCAAAGTTGATTTTAAATGCTTTTTGAAGATTTACTTCAAGCTGAGCAGGGTAATGAAGCACTCTCGTTACAAATCAGCTCCTTCTAACACGTAATCGTCCTAACAAGCTCGTATGACATCCAGTGTCATTAGCGTCAAGTGCAGCTAATATTCACCAACTTCAACATTAGATTATTCAAATCACAGATTCTACAGTCATCACTTTATTCAGAAAGATGCCTCTGTGTGTGTGTGTGTGTGTGTGTGTGTGTGTGTGTGTGTGTGTGTGTGTGTGTGTGTGTGTGTGTGTGTGTGTGTGTGTGTGTGTGTGTGTAGTGTACGTCGTGTGTCGTGTGTGTGTGTGTGTGTGTGTGTGTGTGTGTGTGTGTGTGTGTGTGTGTGTGTGTGTGTGTGTGTGTGTGTGTGTGTGTGTGTGTGTGTGTGTGTGTGTGTGTGTGTGTGTGTGTGTGTGTGTGAGGGAACAGCTTCACATGCATTATCAGTCACCTCTGCATTCCTCAACATGCATGAGGGAGAAAGATGGTCGCCCCGGTGAGTTAAACATCTGATCTTTTTTGTGCTTTTCTACTTGAAGCTGTCAGTGTGTGCAGTGTTTTTTCAGAGCGAGATGTCTGAGGACACGTGGAGCTGTTGTCCTGGTTTCCACTTGGCGCTGCGTCGGCCGGCGTCTGCCCGTCTGTACGGCTGGTTCCTTAAATCTGAGGGGGGGACCAAACAGAACTCAGTGTAAGGTAAAAGGAGTGGAGTAAAGAGCACAATATTTACCTCTGAGATGTAGAGTTACAACAGTGCATTAAATGTTCACAAGTAGAACATTTGAATGTAAGCGCAGTAAATGACATGAATAACATCTGGAAGAAGTACTCTTATCTTGTACTTAAGTAAACATGGAAATACCAGTTACATGTAAAGGTCCTTCATTGCAATTGTTTCTCCAGTTAAAGTACAGAAGTACTAGCATCAAATATACATAAAGTAGCGACAGTGAAAGTAGTCATTGTGCAGATTGGTCCATTTCAGAATAATATATATGATATGTTTTATAATGATTGATCATGAAAGTGCAAAGCTGGTAAAGCTGCAGCTAGTTTGAATGACTTTGTATACTGCAGGGTAACTTGTGAATTTACTCAAGGTGGAACTAAAGTCTGATTTAAGAGGTGATTATATTTCACATCATTAATCCACATCTGCAAATACATGTAGTGGAGTACACGATTTAACTCTGAATTGTAGTGGGGTAGAAGTATGAAGCAGTAAAAAATCTAAATAGTAGTGGCCATGTCTTGTTTTATGATACATTTCCTGAGATGGTTTTTTGTCCTTCAAAGAAATGTGTAAAGTAAATCCACATCAGAGGTACTAAAATACATTATATTTATGAATAACCATGTTTCAGTCTCAGCCTTGAATATTGACATTAACAGAGCCAGTGAGCCTTTTCAATAACCCCTAAAAGTGTTTTACAGATATTGTAGGTCAAAATATCTTTAAGAATTAAGTTGTAACATTATGATTTAGCTGTCACATTACAAGATCATGATTTTACAAGAAAGGTCCAATTCTATGATATAAAGTTACATTTTTGCTAGAGAACCATTGCAATATTCTTAAGTAGGGATGGGTTAACCCCAAACCCAATATGGATTCTTGGATTTTAAAGAATAAAGTTGAAGAAAAATCACAATAATGAAGTTGTCATCGTAGTGCATTTATGATATTTCCCCGTAAAACATACAGATATACATTAACAGTCTGTGAAAGGTGCAGTGTGAGATAACCAGCTGCTCATTCAGCGTCACAGTAAACAGAGTGGAAGAGAGACAGAGCAGCGAGGGATTTAAGAAGTCACCTCGTCGCTGAACACCGAGTCGCAGAAGAGACGGGACGAGCGTTTGGCAGAGCGCGCCGTGAAGGGCACGGACTTTAGAGCTGAAGACCAGAGAACCCACAGGGAGGGAGAGAAGAGGAGAGGCAAGGACACATACAAGTGAGGTAAGCATAAAGGAAGGAGTGAAGGATTTAGAAAAAAGGGTACTTTTTCCTACAGAGAAGACGGGACATGTTTAGTTATGCAGTAGTGAAGCCAACCAAGGTATTACTTTTCACTAAGCTATAAGATCCCCTTTGAAGAAAGTTTAACATACTGGAAAACATTTCTCTTTTCCAAGAAGATTGATATCATGTCCATTTCATTCAGTGCTGAAAGTCAGTATGTGGTTAGCCTATTTTAGCATAAACACTGGAAGCAGAGGAACACAGTTGGTGGGCTCTGTGAAGGAGTGAAACGATGCAACCAGGAATTGACTGCTTTGCCCTGGTCCCCAAGAAAAGAGTCACTCAGATGTTGGATTATTGCAACCAAACAAGAACTTTAGCAAACAAATGTTTATTATAGTTACACATTTAGTTAAGCATGACAATTTTACCCTAATGAACACATTTATGATTTTGACAGCGTAAATGCAATCGCCAGAAGTAAAAAGCCAACATTAGGCCATAATTAAGCTACACCATGGTGGCATGTCCGCACGACACCACCACTACGATTTCAGCTTTTAATTTGTATTATTGCACTGACCCCTTCTATTAAAGAATAACCCCTTGGAATGTGTTAGTTTGAGTTAGAATAGTTGATAACTCAGGTTGTAAAGGTCAACTAGGTAGTAAATCGTTCGGAGTGATGATGTTCAGTAGCCTCATTTAGCCACAGTTTTGTTATAAAGACATGTAGCATAAAAGCCAAAGGACAAGCGCTCTATTTATTTTAGCTACTATTTCAAGTAGATTGGTTTAGTTTTATTTCTTTCAGTATCTACAACTCCAAAGCTAAATAATTACATGTTTAATCTTTAAACAAACAAAAATGTAAAAAACTTTTTGAGTTGAATGGAGATCCATTTTGTCTTTACATTTCTGTTAGTGTTTAGTTTAAACAACATAGTGTTAATCAATGAGCTTTAGAGGAATTTTATTTCTTCAATCTAATTAAGGCTGACTGTTTTACCTGCCTCCCGTGCTAATGCTAAGCTAGGCTAACCACGTCCTGGAGCTAAAGTGTATTTCCCAAAATGTTTGTTTGATTCATTTCAGTCAGAGAACCAGAGGGATAGTGATTGAAATCCTCTAGTGTGCAGTGTATTTTTGTGTTACAGCCGGTGTGTGTGTGTGTGTGTGTGTGTGTGTGTGTGTGTGTGTGTGTGTGTGTGTGTGTGTGTGTGTGTGTGTACCTGTGATGATGTCCTCTATGGCCCCGTCCTTCCCCTCCCTCACCAGAGGAGACACCTGCCTCTTCTTCAGCTCTGCTATCAGGTCCATCTGCGGCAGTTTGGACGCCATTGATACCTGAAACATCAAACATGTCCATGTCTGAATCTTTTTCTTTTCTCAAAAGCTGCTGATGAAAACCTAAAGGATAACTATGGTCTTTTACAGCTTAGATGTTATGATCTCCGAAATTACATATTGTACTCATAATACGTACAGCATACAGTCAATGCATACCTTGGGCCGGTTTCTACCTACTCAGCTGCACATGTACAGAACAGTACAAACATAATTCTGTTTTAGGGATGGCTGTTTTTTACTGAGCTTTAAATTCCATATTTTCACTCAAACTCTAATAACATGCAGAAGAAAATGAAGTGTATCTCCTTTAATTCTAATGGCATTCAATTGTTTTATTTTGTCCCGTTCCACTTTCAGCTATTTGTAGTGGATTCATTCGATTCATTGTAAATGTGTTATTTATTTGCAAGGTTTTAATATTTGACTTATTTGGATTTGTAGTATTTTAACTTTTTATCTAAATTTTTACGTAATTATTTTCTTTCTTTTTTGCAGGAAAAACGGATGTAAAGATCCTATTTACAATATGAATGAGTCAATTAAAGGTTGAATGAAGGAGTTTAAAGTTTCTAGGTTGTAACATTTTTATACCAACCTGTTTGCTTTAAACATCTATTTCTGGTTTTATTTTTTAATATTATATAAATGTCCAATCTTCTCAAGTAACTGGGCATGTACCATATTATTATAAGTGAGTGCAATAAAGAGATATTATCCTTTGTACAGTACTTCTTTATGATAATTGGGATGGTTTATGAATATGTAGATGCTTACACTGTATTTTGAGCAGAAACTAAATGTACCTTATTCCCCATGACTTCAGGTTTGGGTGGAGTTGTTGGAGCGTCACAGTTCAGCACATGGTGCTTCTTCCTCTGCTCGTTCTCCTGCTCCGCTTGCTGCCGGGGGGAAATCATTGAAATGTTTTATACTTATCTACGAGTAAAGGTCAAATAGAAAGCGTGACAGTAGCTCACTGATAGAGCTGAGAGTTTACAGTAATAGCTGTTTATCAGTGCAGCAGCTATCTGCTCTGTCTGCTCATTCATGCTAGGAGTCAATATGATGAGCGTTATCTGACCTTGTATGCTTTGATGAACCTGACAAACACAGGGAAGAACATGGAGGGTGGCGTGGTTTTAGAGTTCTCTCCAAAGTACTCCACGGCAGAGTCATACACATCCTGAAAGATAGAGGAAACAAATCTTCTTCAATTCAACTCAAATAAAAAGGGTGTGAATCCTAGGCATTTATTGCAAATTGTATGGAGGCACTTAGAGGCAAAAATAGACAAAATGATTTATTTTCTAGTTCTGAAAACATTGTTTTTTCTCCAGAAAAGAATACATTAAAAAAAAGGGTTTTGCCAGAATTTTCATTTTTTAAATTCCAGGATTCAATTCACTCATTTATATTTTGTTCGGTGTCAATGTTTCAGGAAATAACATTAATGGCAGTCATTTTACATCATTTTCTAACATAAAATATACGTATCTGTGTTTCACCTGGAAGAAAACATGGATTCTTGTGATCCTAAAATCACATTTTATTCTATTATTATTATTATTATTATTATTATTATTATTATTATTATTATTATTATTATTATTATCATCATCATCATCACAAAAACAAAAGATTGACCCACGAAAATGACTTAATTGCACCTGTTTTCACAGACGTAAATATATATATATTCTTAAGTCTTATTAAACTCAGGAGATCAGTCGTAGGAAAATTGATCAACAGAATTATTTTTTGCACCGTGGCCTCTCAGGTCTTCTGTACATTATCATCTAGGACTCAAATGGTGTCCTGCTGTGTGAACTCAGTGCAATAACCTGTGATTTATGTTTATTTTGGGGTAAATAAAACCGACCTGGGCAGTTTTTCCATCACCGATAAGGGATTGGAGCAGCTCAGTGTTGCTGCTGAGGAACGCCTGCAGCACAGGGTTGTATTTCTCCACAGAGAACTCCCTCCTGGCGGCCTCCGTGCCTCGCTCCAGAGCGCGCACATCCTGCAGGATGCTGTCAAGAGAAACTACCAGAGAAAGGAGAGGGGCTTTAGTGTCATTTCAAAGTTCAATTTAACACCCTTATCAGTGCTGATAGTAAAGTTATTCCATGATATAGTATTAATGGTAATGTAGGGGTCACATTGTGCCAGGGTGAAGGGAAAGATAACCTGCACAAAGGGGAAACTATGAATAAAACCATCTTCTCACTGCCATAACTCCTCATTAACTTCTGATGTATGACACACACTTATATCTGCACTGGTTGGATTTACTGTCTCAGTGTAATTGGATTTAAAGGCATAGACCCATTCAGTTTGAATATAAGCTTTATTTTAATTGCTACAAATTATCCTTAGAAGTCTAATATATGTTAGATGGTCTTGAAAAAGCCTGGCAGATGATCAAATTAAACAACTTGACACATTTAGAAATATTATATATGATGATTTATACTATTACCTTTATTTTACTGTGATAAAAAATGTAGTTTTTTTATTATAAAACGAACAGCTATAATTCCTTTTTCCCAACACCATTTTTAGGCTCTTAATACAATAATTTACAATTTCAAGATTTACAGTCATAAGGACTCTATATGAAAGAAAATAAGTCCTTGTCTTGTTTCCAGTTATAATGAAAGGTATTCTGTTGATATGGCCAAAAAAGGAATTATATAAAGATAACAATAATGATTTCTAAGCTTTATTCTAAGATTACATCGATTTATAAAAATAAGATGTTATTAGTTTGACACTTCTCTTGATCACACTACTGCTATTGTTATTTAGTGAACAGATACTTGCCTCATTCATTTGTAATTCTTTGAAGCGCTACAAAAAATAATTTAGCATTTGTTTAATTTTGTTTTGATTTGATTTATTTTACTCAAATCTGTCACATACATTATTGTGAAAAATTGTGAAACTAAAAAGTACCTGTCAACATAACACTCCTACAACGATCTGCCCCTGAACACACCATTCCTACCACAATATATTGTTGCTCTGCCCCTGATGCAGTGCTTGAATTGGAATAAAAAAGGTGCCAGTACTCTAAATCAGCAACTGTTTCAAGTCAATTTATTTAAACAGCCCAAAAACAAGTATTTGGCTCAAACTCATTATAGTATATCCTATAATGCTGGTGTGTTTATCTCTTTACTTTATATTTTAGAAAGGCTCACTGTACTTAAACAAAATGACTCAGGGTGCATCTGAGATTAGAGGGGGTGCAGTGGTAAAGTGCTATTTTTATAAGTGGGGAGTGGACCAGTCACCCTCTAGGGGGGTCCGGGGGCATGCTCCCCCGGGAAGATTATTTTTTAAATATTGAAGTTACAGTAGATGCATCAATCTGGTGCATTTTGAGGGGGAAATAAAGAGACCATATTTGTTGTCATGCGTCAATCAGGGCCGGACTGGGACAATAAGTCAGGCCGGGAACTATACACCCAGCCAGGCCACTACCTGTTTTTTGTGCCATTTTGCTGGATTTATTTTTCAATATTTACAGCGTTGCTGCCCATAGTGATAGCCCTCTAGTTTAAATCTACTACCCAAAAATAAACATATGGAGATGGCTTACTATTTTAAAAAAAAAGGCAAATCTATTTAGGAACCTGTCAATGTGAACATATTTTAAGTGGGGGTGGAC